AGCAGTGGTTGGAAAGGGCCGCCGTTTACTGCAGGCACGCGTAAACAGCAAACGAAGTCGTCTCGCCATTGAAGGAGCACCTGCACCGAATACTCCTCCTTACTCCATTCTTCAGAAGTTTAAATCAATGGGGTTTGATTCGATTCACGCTAACCCCTCTGTACTTTGCATTTTTTTTTAATTGTTGAGTGATAGATACGGATGGATACAAATGGTAAATAATTGTTGTGGCCCTAAATATGCTTGACTGTTGTTTCTAAAGCTATTGAATACCAGTTCTGTTTTGATATTGTTTACCATCATAGGCTTTTACACGTGGACATGAAATCACCAGGTACCATGGTTGCTTCTGATTTCTCTCACTCTGAATCTCCAATATAGATCTTAAATTGTTACTTTTGCAATTTTCATTCTGACATTTAAATAACAGTATGGATATGAAGAAGCTCATTCCGTGTGCCATTTGCAGTTGATGAAGAGTTTGGGAGTTATGTCGGTTTAGTTAATTGTTTAGGGTTTTCTGTGCAGTGGTCCTCATAACGTGACCTATGTTGACTACTGGAAAATTTAAATTTAAACACATTGACGAGTCGTGCGAAGGAACTATAGTACAATATCAATATAATACATGCATGTGGTTGGGATTAATAATTTAACATACTCCACAATGTATATGGTTGGCTGTCCAAATATTCAGCTCCTCAAGTCTTTAGCACTATCTCAATTATGTTGCTGTCTTTTTTTGGATGAGAAAATTCTAAAGCATCCAATTAACCAATGTTTTATTTCTTAATTAAAATTGAGTCGGAACATAAATCCTTTTCTGGTAAGAATTATTCACTGGATTTGTAACGAGTTGCTATTATTTGCCAGTCATCTTCAATATTGGAATGTACTCCTTTTTGTCCTTTTTTTTATTTTCATGGAGAAATTAATACAATTGTCTCTCTTCTTATGCTAATAGAAGAACGAGATGCTCTAAGAATGTCAGAGAAATGCTTATGTGTTGAGTCATAGAGCTCGTAACCTGGCTAGTGACCGTTTGTTCCCTGCACGAGCCTCAGCAAGATCGTAACCGTTATGCCAATATTTGGACCAACTTAAACGTTTTCTCTATTATTGCACCATTGTTATCAGTAAAAAATATTCTATACCACCTGATATCTTTATATTCTGTATAGAATATAGATCACTTTCTAGGTGCACATCATCATTACCAACTTTACTCATAATCATTTTTATAGGTCTTATTATGTTTGGTGTTGAGACAATACTCAAATGGTTATCTATGAGCGTATTTACCGTTTGTACTACTCTGGAAGCGAAGCATGGTCTTTTACTGTCCATGTGTCCTTACGTTTTTTTTTTGTTTAGCTTTGTCTTTACTAATGTTTCTATTATTTATGTTGTACTCCAGAGTAGGGAGTTCAAGTATGGCTAGTGGGAGTAGCAGCTTGCCACAATCACCAAGTTCTGTAGCTACTGAACCTGAACCTGTCAACGATTCAGAGTCGATTGAAATAGAAGATGATGAGCCAGAAGAAGAGATGAATGTTGGTTCTAAAAGGAAACTAACCTATGTTGTTTGGAAAGAGTTCAAAAGAGTGAAATTTTTGGGGGAGATGAAGGTAAAATGCATGTACTGTGGCAAGAAGCTTTCAGCAAAATCATCAAGTGGAACAAAACACCTTCATGATCATCTGGCTTGTTGCCAGTATCGAAGGTGCAAACTCTTAGGGAAGAACAAGAATTTGATTCAACCCTCTCTTAAGTTTGCCTCCAGGGAGTCAGGACAGCTATCTGTTGAAAATTACTCATTTGATCCAGAAGTGGCTAGAAGAGAACTTGCTGGCATGATAATACTCCATGAGTACCCTCTATCTATGGTGGACCATACCGGCTTTAGGAGGTTTGTGAGTGCCCTTCAGCCTTTATTCAAGATGGTGACTAGGAACACAATCAGGTGAGATTATACAGTTGTGAACTTACAGTGCAATTTCTTTTTCACACACTGTCTAATTTTGTGCTGTATTGCCTAATTTCAGGAAGGACATTATGGATGCATATATGGAAGAAAAGAAGAAGGCCCAAGAGTACATGGTTGGAACTAAGTCTAGAGTGGCCATCACTACAGACATGTGGACCTCTGAGAATCAAAAAAGAGGTTACATGGCTGTAACAGCTCATTTCATTGATGACTCTTGGACACTTAGAAGCATTATAATGAGGTAAAATGCTTGCATTGCTACTGTTAATCGATTTAGTTATGTCTTTCTGTTCTTTTCTGCAGTATGTGGTGATCTAATTGCATGTGTTTATTTATGTATTTAGGTTCATATATGTGCCTTTCCCCCATACTGCTGATATTATTTCTGACAAGTTGTATGATGCTTTCGTTGAATGGAATGTTGATGAGAAGATCTCCACCGTGACTATGGACAATTGCAGCACAAATGATGCGGTAATTCCTGTACTGATCAACAAGATTAGTTCTGATAAACTGATGTTAAATGGTCAAATATTGCATATGCGTTGTTGTGCCCATATTCTGAACTTGATTGTGAGGGATGGTTTAGATGTGATACAACCTGCAATTGCAAAGATTCGTGATAGTGTAGCCTTTTGGACAGCCACGCCTAAAAGATTAGAAAAATTTGAGGAAATTGCAAAGTATGTGAAAGTGCCAACTGATAACAAATTAGGACTTGATTGCAAAACAAGATGGAATTCTACATACAAGATGCTTAGTGTTGCTTTACCTTACGAGGCTTCTTTTAACCGTGCAACACGTGTAGAGAAGCTATATGATTTTGCTCCAAGTAAGGAAGATTGGACTTTTGCTAAAGAGGTGGTAGGGAGGCTCAAAATGTTTGATGACATCACTGCTCTGTTTTCTGGAACTAGTTATGTTACTGCCAATGTCCAGCTCTTTAAGATTTGTGAGGCTAAGACAAAAATTATGAACTGGTCTGCATGTGGGATTCCTATTATAGAAGAAATGTCAACTAAAATGATTAAAAAGTTTGATAAGTATTGGAAGGACATTCAAGGGCCGATGGGAATAGCTATTGTTCTTGATCCCCGGTTCAAAACTGATTATCTTCTTGGATTCTTTGAGTGTCTGTTTGGTCATAGTGAATCTTGTCTTGAGAAAGTTGAAGTTGTCAAGGCCTCTCTATGTGACTTGATGATTGAGTATCAGTTGGACGATGAAGAAGATAATACAGAATCATCAACTCCAGCACTTGACCATTCAGGCTTCTTGTCCACGATCAGTGCACGTGTTGCAACTAGAAGGCCAAGGGTGCAAGGTTCAGAACTGAGTTAGACAGGTACTTGGATGATGAGCTGGTTCCAATAGAATCTGATAATTTCAAGATACTAGATTAGTGGAAGGTGGCTGGGACAAGGTATCCTACAATGAGAAAGATAGCGCGTGATATATTTGTCATTCCAGTCTGCACAGTTGCATCAGAGTCTGCGTTTAGCACAAGTGGGCGAGTTCTTAGTGAGCATCGCAGCCGGCTTACTCCGGAGATCTTGGAGGCACTTATGTGTTCACAAGATTGGATGCGGCGCAAGTATATAGGTAAATATTCTGCACAACTTATTTTCATTCAGCAGTTTTATGTTTGCCTAATAATTATTGCAATTCTGTTTTGCAGATGCTAATAATGTGGACAAGCCTGAAACTTTTTGGAGTTGCCTTCAGGAGATCCAAGAAAGGATGCAGGTAATGTTCTGTAAAAATGGACAATTATGTTTGCTACCTTCAATAATCTTATATTGTCATATATTTAACAATGTGTACTACTTCTTTCTTTTAATCCAGAAACTCCTACTTTGACATGGCCCTACTGTCTGCCGAGATGACCTCCTCCAAGCTTTCCACAGCACTCCAGTTTGCTCGCAATTTTAATATATTAAGTAATTTAGTGTCATGAACTATTATTTGTCGTGTTGAACTTGTAATCCTTGGATTGGAGATGCCCTTGATGAACTCGTAAAACTTGTTGGATTGGCACTTCTGGAGTTGTGTATTTTGAGCTACTAAACTTGATGGATGGTAGTTGATCATTTAGATGAACTCATTAAGCTGCATGCGAACAATGATCTTTATCTATGATTGCCTTATGGTTGTGTCATTGTGTTGCTTTTATTGAGTGAAATCGGGTCTGTGTCACCCGATGGGTACCCGTCACCCACACGGGTGCCGGGCCTGGGGGATATCTGGACCCGAGACGAGTGATGGGGGTATTTTCCCTAATGGGGGCGGGTGACGGGGGGGTCCCCCCAGCGGGTTTGTCATCCATTGCCATCCCTACATGTACCTTTCAAACATGGGAAAAATACATATGTAACCCCTAGATTAGAAATATTTACATAAATACAATTAGTAGGAAACATAATCAAAAGAGGATTCAGTAGTGATTTTTTTTTCCAAAATTACAAGATTTTGATAAATCATCAGATATCTTTCTTCTCTCTCCATATATCGATAGTCATCTACAGAAGGCGAGATTGATGAAAAAAAAGGGTACACACGTTGAACAGAAAAAAAATGGAAAACATGGCGATCGTGATTCCTTATAATTCAGGAAATCAAGAATTCAAAATTAAAGAACAGGAGAATCGTCGTCAACAGATTCTTGCGTACCAAAACGAGGATTATCATATCAAAATATTCTTGCAACGAAAAAAAAAGAGGTTGTTGTTCGTGACAAAAAATCGTGAAGTAGTCGTGGAATCAAAGACGTTTGAAGATATATTCATGTTTACGAAATATTTACATAAATACATAAATTAGAGGGTTTTTTTTAATAATTTCAGCTTTTGTTTTTGTAAATTTCAGAAACATTTTTGTTTTTTCGTTTAATAATTTGTTAGCTTTTGTTTCTTTGTTTTTTAATAATTTCAGTTTTTGTCTTTGTAAATGAATCAAAGAGCTTTTGTTTTTTTTCCATGTAAAGAAACGTATTTGTTGGTTTTTTTTATTAATTTCAGCTTTATTTTTTTTTTTAAATTTCAGATTTCATTTTTTTAATACATAGTTCATTATCCGTTATTCATTTCATTTTGTTTTTTTTAACCTCAAGCGAATCTGTTTATTTTTCAGGAACATGAATGATGTAAATGTGTTTTTACATCATAATGGAGTATGGATCAACAATGAATACGTGAATTATGATATCGGAGGTATTTTGATTAGTTCATCATGTAACTACAATCAGCTCCAAGATATTGTTTTTGATAAACTGAAGGTAAACGCGTATTCAAATGATCTGGAGATGAAGTATCAAGTGAAAGATGGATATCCAGCTATGAATGTGGATGATGATAGCAGCCTACATTTCTATATTTTATTGAAATTGAAGGAGTGTGATTACACAAAGTTACCCTTGTGTGTGGTTTTAAAAAAAAATTAATAAACGTCACCTCACCCATTCGAGGCATAATGCCAATGTCAACATATTCGTATGTGTATGATATAGAAGGGTTAAATTGTCTTGAACCGGCGCTTGGGCAAACTGAAAGAGATGAATTTTATAGAGCATTTGTCGAACATGCTGCAGATACAATGCTGGAAACAGTTAAGTATACGGAAGATAATCAGGAGATAAACAACTCTAGATACTTGAATGTGGTGTCGATGGAAGTATGATTTGGGATGTTGTGGTCGGCCAATCTTTCAGAGATAAAAATGAAGTGATGAAGTTGCTCAGCCACCATGCAATAACAAACCAATACAAGTTCAAAGTAGAGAAGTACATATGTACTTAGATTAATGTTCAAATCCCAATTTCAAATCCGAAGAGAGTGAAACAAAATTAGATTGATGTATTTACTTATTGTTTTATTTGTGGTATGGGTAAATTTTTACGTTGTAATAATATTACTGAACTATATGTTATGTTTATTAGGTTATTCCTTACTTTTGGTACACTTGTACAGGACTATTTTATAAAATAAATGAATGTTGTAATTCAAACCTATATGAGTTCTACATATAAGTATATGTTTATATACTGTTTATCGGGTTATCGTAGAATAAAAATAAGTTTATATATTGTTAATCTTACGTATATATATGTACAATAATCGGTTTGTGTGCTAATAAAACTATGTTTATATATTGTTTATCTCAGGTATATATATATATATATATATTTATATGTACAATAACCGGTTTAAGTGCTAATAAAAAATATGTTTATATAATGTTTAACTTATGTGTATATATATGTACAATAAATTGTATGTGTGCTAACAAAAAATATGTTTATATAATATTTATCTTATGTATATATATATATATATGTAAATTAAATGGTAGGTGTAATATACATTACTATATAAGTTCTACATATAAGTATATGTTTATATATTGTTTATCGGGTTACTGCAGAATCAAAATATGTTTGTGAACTGTTTATCTTATGTGTACATACATATATAATAAACGGAAGTATAAGTGTATTGCTTATCCGAAAAGTGCATTTTGATAGGTTAACCTCATGCAAATCAAATATCCAAAAGCAACAGCACCAATATTCCTTCACTGAAGTTCACCAAGAAATAAGAAAAAGAAAAAAAAAAACAAAACAAAACAAAAAATGCAACACAACACAATGCCAAATAGTACTAACATGGTTCAACTCTCCATACACAAAAGACAAACAGTACTACTTCAAAACGTAGTCATATTCTAACTAACGATGTGAGCTTTGCATGTTCTATATCATCAAGCATCCCAGAGGAATCATCGTCGCTCTCACACGAATTTTCTTGCTTCATATCAACAATTTTGGCCTCAACCCTGTTTCTTCGAACCCCCTTATTCTTGGTGTCTGGGGTCATCTTTTTTGCTTTTTGTTTCATTTTATGATGTGAGACGAAATCGTCGTCGTCGTCCGACTCACCTTCGGCGGTCTTTTGGTTAGAATTTTTGGCACGAAAAGTAGGCTCTATTTTCTGAAATTGAAGCTTTTCTTGTACAATCTTTCGCTCGGGGGGTTGAATTGGGATGTGCGACGAGATTGGGAGCGAGATATCCTTGCTTCGTCTTCACTTTTGGAGTGTTTGCTCTCGAGTTTATTTTCCTTTGCCATTGTTCTTCACAATTTCACCGGCAAATATGGTGCACTGCGCTTTTGAGACGGCTCGTCAGAGAAGGGTCCAAGGTTCTGGGTAACCCGCTGACGTTGGACGACTGCTCGGAAAGACGTCCTTTTGATGCTGGAGGTTTGTCGGCGATAAAAGGTTCAGGCGACGAGGTTTTTTTTTTTTTTTTTGAATTGAGATTTGAAGTTTTTTTGGGGGATGATGTTCTTCTCGAGATATGGAGAGAGAGATGGAGAATTTCAATTCTTCTTTTTAGGCGGTTGAGTGTAAAGATGGAGAGAATCCCATTTCTCGAAAATCATGTAAGTGTAAAGATAAGTGCAAAGGAATTAAGTATGTAAATGCATTTAACGGTTAATTAGGCCAATTTCACCGCACCAAATCTCATTTTAATTATTGGCTAACGTACTTATGATTAAAATGTTTTGAGATCGTAATTTTGATATTATTTTCTGTATGGGATGTAAAATGTGTAAATTTCTCTTCAAACATCCTTTTTCCTAAGCGAATTTTCACTTGAGAAAATTACTCTATGAACAATATTAGTAGTATTTGCAATATTAGAAAATTTTCAATACATAACATTAATTTTAGGGTAAATTGCACTTTTGGTACCCAAACTAAAGTTCATTTCAGAATCAGTACTCATTTTTTAATAGTTGCAAAATGAATACCCAAACTTTTATTCCGTTTGAGACGTTAGTACCCGGCGTTAGTTGTCCGTCAAAAGGCCGTTAGTCGTTAACGATTTTGACTAACATCGCAGTTAGGGTTTGAATGCATTTTTTCCCCAATTTCTCGTGTTCCTGAAAAAAAAACCCTAACTTTTCAATTTTTTTTCAATTCATTCATCAAAATGATGATCGAACCCTCAAATCGAAGCCCGATTTTAGAATTTTCAACTGAATTCTTCTAATTGCTGCTCGTTTTCTCCAATGTTCATCTCGATTACTCAAATTGAAGCCTGACTCTTCAAATTTCAACGCGATTCCTCAAATTGCAGCTTGAATCTTCAATTTGCAAGTAAAGTCCAGTAATTGCCGCCTGTGTATTTCAAATCCCACCCGATTATTGAAATTCCAAATCGATTCTATGGCGAAAAGAGATCGAGCAGATACGAAAAGAACTCCAGTATACAGTATGTTTCATGTGAATTTTGCTTTAACACTACTTAAAGTCATGTAATATGCTCGATTTTGCTTTAACACTGCTTGAATATAAGGTTTTAATTTTTTTTATTTTTTAATGTTGCCCAGATGAGGATACGAAGTTCACATTGAAATTTTTCCATGGAGGGGAGATGATTGAAAGCTTGTCAAGGTATTACAGAGGGGGTTTTGTAGATTATTTTGATGGTGTTGATGGGGACATGTTGGGTCTATTGAAATGAATGATTTTGCCAAACAATTAGGTTATGAGGAGCAAAATATTAGGTTTTGGCATCAATATGGTCATTCATTGTATAGGGGAGCAAAAATCTTGTCCAGTGATTCTGATGTGCTTGATATTATGAAGTTTATTCCTCTTAATAGAGAGGTTCTCATTTACATTGAACATTTAAACCATCCACAACCTATGCAGCCTTCTACTTTGCCTTCTAGTTTACCTTCTACTTTGCATGAAGATGAAGAACTTGTTCTTGATTTTTCCTTTCTTGATGACATTAACACAGCAACACCACAAACATAAGGACACCCTGATCCAATTGTAGAACATGATAGTGAT